TTCATTTAAAAATTAAGATATTTTAATTTTGTTATGATATTTTATTAAAATAATAAAATTTTAAGATATTTTTTACTTTATTTTTTATAATATAAGTTGATACCTATTTTTTCTTTTGATATATATTACTAATTAATTTTTATTTACCAAATCCAATTGACTTGGCCAAGCCAATCTAAATTACTCAACTCAATTCCTTTTTCTAATCTTCCCTAAACCTATTTCAACAAACCTAATTTAACGAGTCAATTGCCATAAGGGTAGCAATATGTGTTTGTTAGAATTAGACATTATTTAATTGTATATATAATGTATTTATTTATTTGAATTATTTTAAATATTTATATTTTTTATTTATTAAAAAAATTAAATTTTATATATTTAATATTCGACGAGAAATCTACATACCTTCTGTGCTATTCCTTGTGAGTACGGAAATGAAATAAAGGGCGTTTTTTGTCCCCACCAAAAGTTTCTGTTAAGATCCTCATATCTGCCATTGGTAGGGATGGGGAGGGGTCTTACCCGTATGGACCCATTTCCATCCCTAATAGATGGTCCCTTTTTTTTTCTTTTGTTTTTATTTGATAAAAATCTATTTTTGTTATTTATCTTATTAGATTTGTAGTTTTTAGTTATTTATTTTATATTATGATATTTTTAATCTTTTATTTATTAGAATTGAAAAAATAGCATTTATTTTATAATATTTTATTAATTTTATTAACTGATTATTAACTCTATTAGTTGACTGTTAATTCTATTAGTTGACTGTATGTTTTTACCACTTAACAATTAACAAACAATCAACTAATAGAGTTAATAGTTAATTAACAAAATAATTTTGTTAATTGATTGTTAATTTTATTAATTGAAAATAAATTTTTATCAATTAATAATTAATTAATAGTTAATTAATAGAGTTAACAGTTAACTAATAAAATTAATAAAATATTATAAGCGAGGGTTATTTTTTTTAATTTTAATAGATGAATAACTAAAAGTATTATAATATAAAATAAAAAATTAAAACTTATAAATATAATAAAGTAAAAGGTTAAAAATAAACTTTGATCGTTCTTACTTTATAGGAATATACCATTTTAGAACGCAAGGCCCTTCCAAATGCATCATTTTGGCTCCTTGTCGTTGACTTTGGCTTCTTGTTTTTGGAATTCTTCAATCAATGTTAGTGAAGCTATGGGCGCGTTTGTTGGGGGAAGTTTTGTCTTTTCACGTTTTAATATTAAAACAAATTATGAATTTTTAAGGATATAAATTAAAAATGTAATTATTATATTTTAAATATTA